CTGAAGATGACTCAGCCTTATCAGTGGGCTACGCTGCAGCAATGGACGCAGCCCTACAGGGGGCGCATTCTCCCAGCGGAGCCCCAAACCACCACGGAGCATCCGCACATCAGGAAGCAGACGAGACTACGCCGTCTGACGTGTCCGAGCGACCATCCGTGGATGACGTGGAGTCAGAGACGGGATCAACCGGAGCACTGGAAACACGTAGCCTCAAAGACCACAAAGGTGTGAACTTCTGTGGAATGTATTTTTGATGTATTCATCATAAAATGTCTTTTTATGGTTTCATTTATGTGCATGAATGTTCTGTTTTAGTGGGATTCCTCCGCAGTGGCACCAAGCTACTATTCCGCAGGAAACACAGGGAGAAAGAACCCAGTTTCAGTCAGTCCCACGAGGACGTCTCAAACCTGGGCAATGACTCCCCCACAGCCTCCTGCTCCTCCACCAGCCGAAAAAAGTCTGGAAGCTTCTCCCATCGCCTCATCAAACGCTTTTCGTTCCGCTCGTCCAAGACAAAGGGCAAATCCAGCACAGCCAATGGAGGGTCCAGCGCTACAGATAACTAAAGGAGAAACAGAGAGAAAGGACGAGTAAGAGAGACACGGTGCGGGCACCAGTCAAATGAGTGTGGAATCGGCTCCAAATTTCTCCAGAACTTGTTATTTATGTTATATACTGATTGTCCACAACCTAGTGGGGTAAAGTAATACTTCAGACCACATTGCACCCAGGAAGCCAGCCTTGTTTTGGTGTTTGTTTCTTTTTTGACTGGAACATCATCATTCATCTACTATTAAGCTATTCAAGATGGAAAACACCAAAAAATGTGGAAAATCAAAGGATTTGACTATTTCTGAATGCATCGCTTACCTAATTCATTTGACGAAAAGGATAAAAGGCTGCTTTTGTGGATAATCATGAGCGAACAAACTTGAGAAACTCAAAATGGACAGGTGTCATGCGGTTATTGAGCACAAGGGGGCGACATAGACCAATGACTATTGATGCCTCCAACACTGTCGCTGTGTTGTTTTTCTTATTTATTTTATTTCATCAGTTGCACTCTGGATCTTAATCTGATTGTTTACAATGCCGGGGAGCTCTTTTTCTGTCGTTTTTATCATGTTTGTGTATCGTTTAACGTCCTGTTATCAGCACTGATTTATTTCTCCTGAGCTCATTAGGAGTAACGTATTTCCAGAGTGTGGTATGCTAAGACATGCTGTGAGCTATGTTCTCGTTTTGCTGTTGCTATAGCATTTAGATCAAGGGATGTTATGCCCGGATTTCAAATAGTGGTACGTTTGACTTTCATTGTGGCTTAATAATCTTTTATAATGATGTTTCTATTCGTTTAAGAAAACGGAAACGTTCATAAGTTACTTTAGGCATATCTCACTAAATTGCGTTCGTGTTTTTGGTTGTAACGTATAAGCTCTTCATATGACAAAAGGGATACAGTACAGGAAAAAAATGCATTTGTGTATATTTATAAATTATACCACAAATTATTGTAAATCTACAACCTCTTGAGCTACATAAATCTGAATCTGCAGCGGAGAGAAGTGCTATTTTCAGGGTCCACGTGATAACAAACCTCAGGGGATAACGTTACTATGAAAAGGTAAAAATATGTTTAATCACTTTATCTATCTCGTTTTTTCTTTCAGATATGGCTTCTTGAACAAAACAGTGGTTACCCCAGTAACATACAACCCCCTTTCCTCTTCTTTATTCGTTTAACTTGGTTGCAATAAACGTATCCAGAGGAGCGCACGTGCTTTACTTAAACACAAGTAGATTTTATTCTAGGTAATTCCATAGATGGCTTTTATGATAGTGTTGAGCAGAACATTTTAATATATTTCTGATAAACTAGTAATTCGCGTTAAAGGTATAGTTCACAAAAAAATTATATTTAAATTCGGTTTACTTTCTGTGGACCATAGATGCATCATGCAGTGGTAACCGAGGCTGTTTATCTGCATAAAATCTCTTTTTGTATTGCACGACAGAAAGTCATAGAGGTTTGGAACAACTTCAGAGTGGGTAAATGAACACAAATCTCATTTTGGGAGAACTATCCCTTTAAGGAATCTCTTTTGCGGTATCCCTCCCCCATCCCATATGATCGGTGCATATTTCAGCATTTGGTTCTACCAAATATTTGAAATAATCAGAACTCTGAAAAAAAGAAAACTGGTTGTCAAGTTAACAGAATCTAATTACTACAGGAAAACATCTTACCTACAAAACGTTGACTTGCAGTTCATGAATCCATGACAAAGCGCTTGTTTGCTAATAGTTAGTGTAACTCCTGGAGCATAAAGCCTGAAAATGTTATATGACCAGAATTGTATGATAACAGCGAACAATCTAAAATGAAGGCAGTGGACCTTCTAAGGTACTCGGAGCTTTATATTATTGTGGTTAATTTGATGTTTTATTTATTCTGAATAAATTATTTTTGAAAATCCATTCCTCTTCATTTTCCTTTTTCCCTCTAAAATGTTTTAGTTACATGACTTGAAAAGGAGAAAAAGACCAAGGGAATGTGGCGAGTTGAAAAAGTGTTCTTGTGATTAAACCACCAACACGATTTATTTCTTTAACCCTATTTTTCATTTTGAATATTTAAAAATCGTAGCTTCATCGGAATGGTACGAAACGTGGCGACTTTTATGGCACTTGATATGTGAACACACACAAAAAATGAGGGCATGATTCGAAAAAGCTAAGTGCTCGTAAAAAAAATAGTCACACTCATGGTCTTCGGTCTAAAATGACCGACCATAGGAAATGAATGGGAAATGGCAAAAAAATTGAATATACAGAAATTTTTTGTGAGTACAATCTACAGATCCCCCACGATGCAGAAAAAAATTGCACAGCAATGAAGGGGTGAAACTAAAACATCTAGAGAGCAAAATCAACACACCCACTCACACACGCGTGGACACACACACACCCCTATGAACTGGTGTGCCTGTAACACAGCAAATATGTAAAATAAAATCAATAATTCAACTACAATTTAGTAAAAAAAAAAAGTGGACAGCAAGTAAGGGATTACACTCTAAAACATCAAGAGTGCAAAACAGACACATCTACTCACAGACAAACACACATACACAATTATACACACTCAAATGAATTGGTATGGCTATAACCATATAGCCAAAATGAGCTAGAAAACTGAAATAAGAGGTTAAAATCAGATCAGGCCCAGAAGGATTAAGCTCTGATAAAGCATTCCTGTTTATTTTTGTTACATTTTTATTGAATTGTAATGTTTTGTATAACAAAATGCTTTCTGTATTCAGGTTTGACTGTAGTAATAATAATTCAAAAACTGACGCTTCAAATCAACATTTAAAACAACAAAAATATATAAACCTTGACCAAAAGTAGTCTTTGAGAATGCCTTAATATACATTTAAATCCACAACCTAATAAAAGTAAACAATTATGTATAAAAACAACTAGGGAATTCAAAAGCCTTTCTAAAGATTCCTATACAGGCATCTAGTGGTTACACCATGAAATTACATGTTTTTCTTTCTTTGCTCTCACCAGGAGGGTGCTAATCTGCCTTAAAAAAAAAAGGATTTTAAAGGCCTAGTCTCTATTTTAATCAGAGATACCGCATTGATTGAAAAATAATTTTAAAAAATGAGAGAAAAATGTTTTGTACTATTTTTAATGGGAAAAATTGATAATTATTGCATAAATATTAATTATTACCATAAAATTCTCTCAAAATACAAAAGAAAAAAAGAAAAAATATTATTGAACAAAAATATATTAGATTGATTTTACTGAAGAAAATAAAAGTTACATTTCAGGTGTCTGGTCACTTTTGACCGCGAATACCATGAGTGTGACTCCCAAATGAGGAGCGCACAAGTAAACACAGTGGATTAAGTAATCTAAAAATGTATTATATATAAAATATTACATTACATATCACCCTAAACAAGAGAATTGTGGGGGTTTAAACAATGCGCCAAACTGTGTTAAAATTCAGAGGGAATGTGTTCAATTGGTTTGAATTTACCGCCCAAATTTGATTGACATAGCAAAAGACCACTGGCGTCACAGACGAAAAGTACGAATCAATCAGATCGCGCACATTTAGATGCCCTCGGATTGGTTCGTTAGTTTGCGCTGTTTATGCACTACAAGTTCAAGCCAATAGGAGAATACATCCGCTCTAGGGTTTGCTCTAACAGCCAATCAGGGCCGTGCTGCGCTGCGCGTATCCAATCATAACGATGGGCGGGATCATACAGCCCTAGTTCAGTCAGTCCTTAAATACTGCAGCAACGCCATAGCTCATCTCACTGATTTCTTCAATAACCAGAGAAAAGAAGTTTGTCAAACAACATGTCTGGAAGAGGCAAAACCGGAGGAAAAGCCCGCGCCAAGGCTAAGACTCGCAGCTCCCGCGCTGGTCTGCAGTTCCCCGTCGGCCGTGTGCATCGTCTCCTGCGTAAAGGCAACTACGCTGAGAGGGTAGGTGCTGGTGCCCCCGTCTACCTAGCTGCCGTTCTTGAGTACCTCACCGCTGAGATCCTCGAGTTGGCGGGAAACGCTGCAAGAGACAACAAGAAGAGTCGTATCATTCCTCGCCATCTTCAGCTGGCCGTCCGTAACGATGAGGAGCTGAACAAACTGCTCGGTGGAGTGACTATCGCCCAGGGAGGTGTTCTCCCCAACATCCAGGCCGTGCTGCTGCCCAAGAAAACTGGCCAAGCTGTCCCCAGCACCGGCAAAACTGGAAAGAAGGGTTCTTCCCAGTCACAGGAGTATTAAAGACTACGCTGAATTGAGTCAACTCACCCAAAGGCCCTTTTAAGGGCCACCCAATTATTCTGGAAAGAGCAAATTCCATGTGTTTGAATTGTGGTGGTAGTCTGTATTGAGGCTTTTTGCATATTAAACTGTCTTTTAAAGTTTGCTTTTTTTGTGGTGTGAGCAACGGTGGTATCAACTTTTTTTTTTTTATTACAAACTTTTCATATTGATATAATTGTAGAAAGTAGCGTTGTAGGTCGAAGAATTTGCTGGTTAATTTAATTACATTGTGGGATCAAAACTATATAAAAATATTCTAAATATAAAACTTAACATTCTTTAAATTGCCCACTTTGTCAAAAAAATCTTACATGGAGCCCAGGTTCTAAAGAACTTGAAAAAAACTACATCTTAGCACCTCATCATTGTGATTAATAAATATTCTCCATTACTAAAATGCATCGTATATAAAAATGCCATATTTTGTTAGAGGTACATAAAGATAAAAAATACTCGATTCTCAATTTAAAAACCATGGCCAGATATAAAAGAGCTATTTTGACCACCTCATTTTCAAGTGGTTCATAAATAAAGGTGGGAGTCTGACATTAGAAATGGAAGACCATCAGAATGAATTCTTCCAGAATTCTGTGCCTGAGAAGAGATGATGGTAGTCACAACAGTAGAAATGTCTTGTGTATGAACCAGCAGCTGAGAGAAAAATTGCTGCTGTCACATTGTCAAACTGAGGTATAGTATCTGAAGTGATTTGTCGGTTGTTTTTACATACAGATTTATACAGCCAATCAAGGTTATATTTAAGCTCTGGAGATTCGGCTATAGAGCATGTAGTTGAGTGCACGGTTTATCCAAGTTAACAGCATGTCAAAGGTTCCAAAACTAGGTCTAATACTCCAGTGCACAAAATGTAAAAAGCCAGCTATCGAGCATCATTTAGTGTCCTGGCTGTTGTGAGAATGTCTTTGGCCCCCTTATTAAGGAGAGCATTTGCCAGATCCATTCCCAGTTTCTCAGCAGCTTCGAGGGCTGATGATGATACACTGTTGGCAGTGACTCCAACGTGTTCACACTCCTGTGCACTCTCGCTCACCTGATAGAAACAAGTTGGAATAAAAGTTATAATACTGTAAATAATAATATATAATGCTGTAAAATTGTAAATACATTGACATTCAAGAGTTTGGGGTTGGTAAGATTTTTTTTGTATGTTTTTGAAAGAAACCTCATGCTCACCAAGGCTGCATTTATTTAATCAAAATACAGTAAAATAGTAATACTGTTAAATATTAAATTTTAAAATAAAATTGTTCTATTTTTATATATTTAAGGAGCTGAATTTTCAGCATCATTACTCCAGTTTTCAGTGTTACACGATCCTTCAGAAATCATTGTAATATGCTGATTTCTCATCATCAGCAATGTTGCAAACAGTAAGCTGCTTCATATTTTTGTGGAAACCATGAAACATTTTTTCCATGATTCTTTGATGAATAGAAAGTTCAAAAAAAATATTTTTTTGTAACAGCGTCTTGTCACTGATCAATTTAATGCATACTTGCTGATTTAAAAAATCATACTGACCCCAACCTTTTGTATGTATGTATATTTAACCCTTACTTTGTTGTCAATTTCCACAACCGTCTGCATAGTGTCCTTCAAGCAATCAGCTCCATCCAAACTATAAACTGCTCCAGTCAAATACAGCTGAAACCAGAAAAAAGATCATTCAGTCTATGGTATACAAACATCAACAACACTTATTCAGATTTGCATTGTGTGAAGTAGCATAATAACATGCCACTGAATGTCTATAAACATAGTTATATTTTGTCTCTTTACCATGGATCCTTTCACTTCTGTATGAACAGCAACAGGCACACTGCAGCCTCCTTCCTGAAAGTAGAAAAAGGGAATGAAGAGCAGTATTAAAACCATTAAACTACATAGAATACCCTCAGGTCAAACTGATATGAACCAAATGCAATGAGAGCGGAGTTCATGTGTGTGTAAAGAAACCCACCAGCTGCTTGAGAAAAGCTCTCTCTGAGATGCACCGCAGCACTGTGTCTGGATGGTGCAAGACAGACACCATTTCCAGAATGTCTTTATCTTGTGCTCTGACTTCCACTGCCAGTGCTCCCTGATGATAAGACCAATTTCTGTTTATTTACAGACTGACATTTACTTAGGACACACTCCTGCAGGTTAATGTTACAGCGAGTATGCATACAGAGCAGTCTGATCGCAAATGAAGCATTATGTGTTCATGTACAGTGTCTTAAAAAGGTTTTAATAAGTATTAGTTTGCCTTCCACAGAGGTATTCAAGCCCTAAACTATTTATTTAGTTAATTTGTTCAAATAAATTAAAAAGTAATGGAGATGGAAGTTGTTTTTTCAAACTAGAGACCATATTGACGTATTTTGTTCCATTCAATGTATTTCCTAAATTGTCTTTACTTTGTCTAAAAACTCTTCAATTTACTATCATAAGACCTGCAGAAACCCTGCATGCAACATATACCATATAACTGCACTTTCATGGCTTCAACCGTTAACATAATTTGTTACACAGGTGTTTCCTTTAGTGTTTATAATGAGCATTAACAGTTGAGCTTGCAGCTGCAGGTGCTTATTCTCTCGCATGAACAACAGCATGAACAATACAATAATAAGTACATAGCATGACGGGTATATTGAAAAATATTTGCTACTAAATCTAGTGCATGAAAACCGAATGCAATTTCACAGTTCACGAATGGTTGTGCATGTTTGCACACTTACCTGGCCAACAGCATACATGCAATCTTCAGGGCCCAGAATCTGCAATTTATACAACAATACTATAAATGCATCTAGAAACACTGCTGTAGTCAACAGAGACCTCCATATTCAGAATAGTGGTTAGTACACCCATATCACGTCTCATATTAAATATATATTTTTTTGTTAGAACTGAATATGAGGTCATACAATGAGGCCAGTATGATTGATATCAACTTTTTAATATTGCCAACAGCATACATGCAATCTTCAGGGCCCAGAATCTGCAATTTATACAACAATACTATAAATGCATCTAGAAACACTGCTGTAGTCAACAGAGACCTCCATATTCAGAATAGTGGTTAGTACACCCATATCACGTCTCATATTAAATATATTTTTTTTTGTTAGAACTGAATATGAGGTCATACAATGAGGCCAGTATGATTGATATCAACTTTTTTATATATTTTTTTCATATCAACGTTTTCTTTTTCTTTTTTGTTCTTTTTCGATAATCCATTACTCAGAAGTATGTAATAGTATATAAGAAATATCTGCAACTACATTTATCATACCTGACTGATTCTGCTTTCCCAGCCCATACGTTTAAGGCCTGCTGCGGCCAGAATAATGGCAGCATAGTCGTCCTTTTCATCCAGCTTCTTCAGACGGGTGTTTAGGTTCCCCCTCTATAGCAGTAAGGTCAAGGTGGAAGACTCTAGTACCGTTAAAATGCTATATACAGTATAGGGAAACTGGCTAGTGTAACAAATACCCAGGAAATATGTGCTTGCTTTGGCAGTCCATCAAAATCGATGATAAAGCTCCTGCTATTTATAATATATTAACATCCACAGACGCAAAAGGAAAGGAAAGGGCAGGATACAATATTTTCAAACTCCAGTTGAGGGAATCGTTTCTTCAGCTGAGCTGCTCTGCGAAGTGAACTTGTGCCAATCACGCTGGGAAAAAATAAAAAAAGAGAGAGAGGTTTCAAAATGTTTCAGACAACTTTGGTTACATAACTGCATATAGCTGTCAAAACATGACATCTATGGCAGAATGTAGATTTTGAGTTAAATTCTATCACCATGAAAACCACTGATCTCCCTTGATTATTGGGTCATCAATCAAATTCTGGAAGATAGATGCTGGCACTTTTATTTGGCATGACAAGATTGTTAAAAAATACAGAGCTCACCTCTTCTCTGGCAAGCTGTCTAGGGTAAGTGCAGCATTCTTTGGATGAAGCACCACTGCATCATGGGGATTTTCCCTCCTTCACAAAAACAATACACAACAAATCACTCACAGCTCAAACAGGTTTTTAAACGACCTACTCCTCCTGTACAGTGCCTTTGGTAATAACAAGTCATAAATATGCAATTTATAAATTAACTTTAAAATTAAATAAGTTTAAAAACTATTAATAAGACTATTAATTAAATAGATATGTACACTACCGGTCAAAATTTGGGATTAATTAGTTTGTTTGTTTTTTTAAAGTTTCTCATAACCATTTATTTGCATTTATTTTATATGAAAAAAAACTGTGAAATATTACAATTTAAAGTAACTTTTCTATTTTCAATAGATTTTAAAATGTAATTTATTCAATTAGTAATGCTGCTGAAATTTCAGCTTTGATATCACAGGAACAAAGTACATTTTAATAAAATATATTACAATAGTAAAGAGTTATTAATTTTACATTATTATAATATGTTACAATACTCGGATCAGGGGCACAAAAAACCTGATCGGGACATCCCTATATTTTACATTATTATAATATGTTACAATATTAGCTTTTCACTGTATTTTCCACAAAAATAAATGCAGCCTTGATGAGCATAAGAGACTTCTTTCAAAAACATTTAAATGCAGTAATTATTCAAAAACTTTTGACTGGTAGTGTAAATTAATAAACCAATTGATTCATTTAAATTAAATTAATAATTAATCGGAAAACAAAACAAATATTTGTTAGATGTCGAGGTTGTGGTCCTTACTGAAGAATAGCTCCAATAGTGAATCCAGGGGGCAATGAGGTAGGTAAATCCTTAAGAGAGTGCACCACAATATCCACTCTAGTGATGAATAAACGCATATGAAAACAAAAACAAAAATCACCAACCCACACACTAGAGGAAAAATATTGTTCTATTACATGCTTAAATAAGGTTTATTTCACAAAACACATCAACAAGTCGAATCAAGTCTAAGAGTACTGCTTTCACATCCTCTGATGCAGAGTGTTGGAAACCAGTAGAACAGAGATAGAACAGTTATATGAGCAAAACAGTTTTGCTGAAGCAAAATGTCCAAGAGACAATAAGACTGAGGTATTCAATATGTCATATCAATAATACTGAAAGTCCATCTAAAGCACTTTACAGCATAATCAACTGAACAATAGTCAACTTTTTGTTTTCTAATGAGGGTTAAGAGAGGGAAAACCTTCATATAAGCTGACATGAGAACATACTTACTAGCATCAGTTTCCTCAAACTTACTCATTTTTCTCGAGGGCATTCTCCAGCTCTTTGGTAAAGAGGCTCTTTTCGCCAATCTAAGAAAATACAGGTTTAAAACATGGTAAATCTGACACATTTGATAGCTGATAATGGATTTGTACATGTTGGGCAGCGCACAAAAATTCAAGGGCATTTCTTCCTACCAAAACCTGACACAACGGCACATGAAATTGAGGAATTGACGGAATTCTACCTTTGATAATGCAGTGTCCAGGATTTTGTCCCCAATTGTAGACATGGCAACTGAAAAGCACGCAGACAAAAAGGTTAAGGGCTGAATAGTTGTGCACTGGCTCCTATTCTGACATCATCACTCATGTCTTTTGACACAGACAGTAGGATTCAGCAGTGAAGCGGTCGTATAGATTACACATTCTCAGCAGAACACAATCGCTCTCTGTTCTAAGACAAGCAGTGAGAGCATGAGGACAAGAAAACGTGTGTGTGTGTGTGTGTGTGGACAATACAGATTCAAATCTATGCATCTGATTAAAAGATACAACAAATACAATACAATTAATGTAGAGGGAATTCATGCAAATTATAGCAGGCAAAATGTCCTCACCAATTTCTAGATGAACGTCTGGATAAAGCTCTTTCAGTCTGCCGGCCACACTGTCTGTTTGAATACGAGCCAGCTGAGAGACACACACAACCTCATTATTGAAGATACAAAAATGTAATTTCATCAATGCCATAAAGTTCCAGTGCAATATATGATGCAAAAGCATGAATACATTTACTCTGAGAGTGGCTCCCTCATAAGGTGCTTCTGAAGATTCTCTATAACATAACTTTTATGATTAAATGTTAGCAGTCACTCCCAGCAATCATCATGGCAACACTTAGGGGCAGTTTCTATCTGATTAAAGCACACGAGTTTCACACCCATTTCCATTGTGTTATCTACCCACACTTTATAACGGTTCCCTAGAGCAAAAAATCTAATTCTATATACTCTTAATTCAATTTAAACAGCATGTTTTCTCTATTTTTGACTTAACTGACTCCATTTATCATTTCATTTGAGCTTACAATAAGGAAAACCTAAAATAATGGTCCATGCCAAGGGTTGTCAGCCTGTACAGACTGTGGGACCCTCAGCCAACCAAGTGACCCACAAAAAAAAAAAAACACTACATTTTCTTAGGAGCACTTTATAATACATGTCATTAAAAATGCATACTTTATTAAACTAAAATTACTTTATATAATGCTTATCAGATTATTAGGTAATAATAAAATTTATATATACATTTTATAGCTAACATTTTTCACACAGTTTATGTTGTTTTCAAAGTGGAAAAAAATGGTTATAGTCCATTATAATATATTTAAACAATACATGTTAAATATTAAGTATAGTGTTAAGGTTTAGTGTAGAAAATACTCTCATTGGAAGATGAAAGAATTTATAAATAAATTACAAAACAGCATAGCTGAATGCCTCAAGAAACATTACCTGGCTCTTCCTTGTTCCCATGCGAATAACTCGACTGACTTTGCCATTTCCTTCCTGCAAGAGAGAGAATATCACTAAATTTCCTAATAATGCTCACCTCAACTCTTCTAAATAGCAAAAGAGGTTTCATCTCTCACTCTAATATACTTGAATGGCCCTTCCATATTATTTGCACACTTTTACAGCTCAGGCTCCAGAAGAAGATGTGTCAGGTCCAAGGCCTAATGAATGACTGAATGAATGAGCAACTGGTGGAGGGGTTATACAGTGTCCTTGCATTCCCCACACCCTGTGTTTCTGGGCGGTGCTGATAAACTAAAAGCTCCATGCAATGCATCTAGTTGCGGTCAGATATACGTTGACCGCAGTTTGACCAGTTGTTTCACAACACTGCTATTGTTTATTCGGACGTTCATGTTTGTATGACAAAAGAGGCTAGAACAGACAAGCGGTATAGGCCGCTTAAGCCATGCTTCTAATAAAAATGTCATTTTTATTACATCATGTGAAATCTCAATTTCTCTTTTTAAAGGGCTTGGCTATTTGACCTGTTCATTAAGAGACCTTTATGCTTATTAAGACTAACATGTAACTAAGTTAACGTTACACTGAAGAAAATAAGAGATAATCTTGTTTAAGACATCTTGTTCATTTATGCTTAATCAATCGCTACATCATCGACGCACTTGTCGTCTTTTAAAGTAGGACTCCCTAAAATAAAGTGGATCATTTCCAAAATATAAATATCAAATACATACACCGTTTTTACATAGTCCTAAATGCAAAATTCCATATTTGCTCCTTGGATCCACATGGTTTCAACACCCGCCTATTTAACTTTCCATCCACCAATAGAAAGACAGAACGTTTAAAATGGCAGTTCACCGAGCCAATAAAATAACACTATATGCCAGTTGCAGTTGTTGCACTTACTTGACAAATACTACCGTTCCCAGACATCTCCGCTGTGAAAGTGGAACGATGTGTTCCCCGAACTGTATCGTCAAGATTTTTCACTCATTTGCACAGTTGCTTTGGTTAAATGGCTGGTTTCGACAATTCCCAACTGCTACCTCAAACTCGTGACCCGAGTTCTGCGTGACCTAGACGTCTGACAGAAACACGCTGGTCGGCGAGTGTGTTCATGCTCGTCATGCAGCGCCACACAGCGCATACCCAACAACACTCATGTCTCCAAATATTGTTTTAAACTGAGTTATAATGACTTAAAATAAAATTTATAAACCAGTTTAATGCAAGACAGACAGACAAACGTAGACAGATAGATAGACAGACAGAGACAGATATATGTCTTTTTATTGTTGTTAGCATAACTGTTGCAAATGAACATACATTTTATACTTTTAAAAGTTTTTAAAACATGCTATATAATATATGAAAACTAATATATATTAAACTTTTTAAAATATAAAATGTATATGTTTTATGCTGACGTGCTGCGTTGTCACGGGAACATCCCAGCTGAAGATAATGAGGAAATGACGTCGCTCCCTTTGCCAAGTGCATTATGTCTATGTTCCAAACGACTACATAATGGCACGCATGTGCCATGCTCACTCTAAAGTCCCCACTCCAAGGGCTCTGCCCTTCAAAGGCATAGGGATGATCACTTCCATTTGGAATTTGCCCCGTGAACCATACGGTACGAATACTTGTACCGTTACACCCCTAATAGATAGATAGGCCAAGATACTGGTAGCACTTCTCTTTAAGATGAGTAGCCTGTTGTTTTCCTCGTTTGGATAAAAGCGTTTGCTAAATGTATAATGTAAAAACAAGGAAACAATGTATGAAACAGTGAAACAGAGCAGTTCATAAGGGTAAATAAAAAGATAAAAAAGGATTTAATTAAGTTAAACTATATTGCATAGAATAGGCTATAGCATTATACTATTTTTCAAGAGTGACAAATAAACAAAATTCACAATGAACTGAGATCCTGCTGGCCACAGTGTTTTGTGTCATCATATTATAGTATAACACATAAAACAACTCATAACAACCACATATAAATAGGCTACATGACATGATATGTTAATTTATTTATAATTGATACTGTATCTAAAATTTCTAATATCTTAATAATATAATATAATATAATATAATAGTGATCGATACGATGAAAAGAAAGCTGTAGTGTTGTGTGAGGGTTGGGCAGTGCTGCTGATGTTGGATCTTCCACATATGCCGCGCTGCCCTTTTACCCCGCTGACGAGCCGCTTCCGGTTGGAGACGTGGCTTTGGCTTACACTTCTGCCATATTGAATCGCAGAGCAGCGCACTGCACACAAATAACAGTTTTATTTTTCTCCACATAGCATTTATACAGACACACAAACGGCGTTTATAAGATTAAACGCAGAAAACATATCAGACACTGAAAATGGTAAGTATCTATATTCGTTTATGTACAAACAACTGATTTTGACGACGGGTTCCGGTTTTTCCTTGAGCGATTGCTGCTAGCTAACGAAATGAACCGCAGACTGATTTATTGCTCGATATGCTTATTAAATCAAGAGAAACTTCAAAATTAGCGTACTGTGAAATTGTAAATTAGCTCAGTGATAATGTCTGTGTATAATGTCGCTTCTTGAGCTGTTAAAACTCGCTAGTATGGTATGTTGTCAGTATGAAGAGCAGTGAGCTACATCAGTGTCAAATACTTGCTATAATTAATTAATAAAAGTAATAAATGACTATCTAGCCCATTTGTCATTTGTAACATCTGTTGACGTATGTAACAGATTGTGTTACCCTTGAAGCTGCTGCCTTAATTAAAGTTTAAAAATAACAACCATTTAGATCAATTCAAACGTTTTGTCTTATTTTTGTCTAAATTGGTAAAGCTGCAACTAGTAGCCTATGTGTGTTTATGCAACTTCATTCAATTGTTGCTTCAGTTCTGTCAAATCATTTGGAACAGGATGGATTGTTTCAAAGCTTTTGTGTAAAATTTAAGTGAACTGGAATATTTTATTTTCCCAAGAATAGACAGCATCAGAAAGAAATAAACCACTCAGGCTTTCATGCAGAAAATAAGAGTAGATGGATAGAAGCTGCATTGTGTGAGTCATCATACTTTCATTTATTATCTGAGTTTTTGTACAGTTGTTTTATGGAAATGTTAGGTTGATATCTTAATTGCATGATCTTTACTGTACTTTTCTGCCATATGGACATCACCTTGACATAGTCATCACTGATAAACTACTCGTAGATGTAATGTAGAAACTTTCATTTTCTGTGAAGCTGCTTTGCAGCAATGTGTATTGTGAAAAGCGCTATACAAATAAACGTGAATTGAATTAATTCTATACAAAGTCTTGGCTCAGTGTTTTGTAATGGGTGCTAGCTTGTCTCATAGAGTGTTGCATTGTAGTTTGTAGCAGCTATTCAAAAATGTAGTCAATGAATGCATCAAAGTTTGTGCAATTTAATATCTTACTAAACAGACCACAAAATTCTTCATCCCATCAATTTCTTTGTAATGATAAATGGAACCCATTCATTCTGTCACTTACTTTGACCAGTTTTGCTGTCTCATGTTGAGGGTTTCCATGGTCTTTGAAACCCTTGAAATAACACTTAATTTCAAAAGTGTTATTTCCAGACATGAAAAGTCATTGAAATAAATTAAATTAGTAAAAGTCATGGCAATTTCTGTAGTCAATATCTTTTTTTTTTTTTTCTAATGCTCAACACCAACCTAATTATTTGGCTAGAGATAACACCTTGTGTATAATGTGTTGTTGTTTTTTCTAGTCCATATTTATTTATAAGAAATGACTGGAAAAATCATGGAAATCCATTTGTCAGAATGTGTGGGAAGCCTGCATGATATGTAATCACATTGTTGGTTTTATTAGGCGTTTCTTTGATTTGCTTCAGATTGCTTTCGTTACATACAATAGTCAGTCTGTTCTGACAGTTGATTACGTGAAACTAAACAACTTTCTCTTGGGTGATTGGTTCCATCTTTGCTGTTAAGAAGGGCTTTATCCTCAAGTTAAACACATTATGAATGAAATACCGCAAACATGAGAGCCAAGTAAAGTTGTCTGTTTTGCTCTTGGAAGGAATGTTAATATTGAATCTTAGTGGCCTCTTTCCATCAATACATCCAAGTAGTGTGCTGCATTCTGCACGTTCCTCTCTGAAGATTACTTCTGCATTTTTGTAATCGCTCCTTAAAATTCTTGTTGAATAACTCTTCTCCAGGTGCTGTTGGCAGCAGCAGTCTGCACCAAGGCGGGTAAGGCTCTGGTGTCGCGGCAGTTTGTGGAGATGACAAGGACGCGAGTGGAAGGTCTGCTGGCTGCTTTCCCAAAGCTGATGAACACCGGCAAACAACACACATTTGTGGAGACTGAGAGTGTGCGCTATGTCTACCAGCCTCTGGAGAAGCTCTACATGGTGCTGGTCACCACCAAGAACAGTAACATACTGGAGGACCTGGAGACACTGCGTCTCTTCTCACGCGTGGTATGATACAAACAGCATACATGATGGAATAACAGGGATGCAAACTTGTCACCTTTCGGCGAAATTCGCCATTTTGAATTCAAAAGGGGTCATTTGTGTGAGTCGTGTAGATCCGGTGAGTTTAAAAAATATATATATTTTTTTGGGGGGGGGTGTCCTTTCTCATCTCAATTCTGTACCCGCTTGAACTCGCCCGCTATCAAACGGTCCTGATTGTTTTTTATTTGTGTGTGTGCGCGCTCTGGCTTTGCAAGTTTACGTAGTTCTACACATTCGCAGATCTTCCCATTATAATAAAATGAAAAGAAAGCATACACGATGTACTGTGTCGCAATATTGGAAATATTTCTGTTTTAAACCATGAAGGTGAGCCAATGGATATCACACAAGCAACGTTCAAACTTTGCGTAAGAGTTACGCCGGTGAACGTTTTAACCTCAGTCAATTCACTATAGAGAAAGTAAAAATTCTGACGGAGTTTAACGCTGCATTAACGGCGCATATTCTCTCAGAGACAACGAGAGACAAATCTACTTCAACATATATTACGATTAAATAACGGTATATAACTGTCTTGAATTATTCCATTAATATTTCTCTTGTGGCTCGTATAGTGAAAAACATGAGAAGAAAGATTTTGCGTTAAACAGGTTGTTTTTGAAAATCATTGCATGAAAATAAAACTGCTCTTAAATTTCATTGATGACAGCAGTGTTAATCATTTTAATTGTTAATTAAATGTTAATCGCATCTTTGTCATCTTTTTCAACCATAATGAGTTTGCATCCCTGGAATAAAAGACTTTTTATGGACCGTTTAATTATGTTTTCGTTATTTCTTGATGCATCTCAGTGTTCACGTTTTGGGAAGAAAATTATTTAATAATTATATATAATAATTATAATTATATGTGATGTCATACAGGGACATCTGAAAATGTGTACCTTAAATAGTAAGAAAAGTAAAATATTTTTATGTAGGTCAAATGTTGTTTTTTTTATTTGTTTGTAAAATAGAAACTTGTCCGTGTTCATTGTAGGTTGTTCTGTTAATATCAGAGTTCTGAAAGGAAGCTGACTGATGTTTTCATTTTTCTTATATTTTGGTAGATTCCAGAATATTGTCGTGTCCTGGAGGAGAGTGAGATTTCTGAGCACTGCTTTGACCTCATCTTCGCCTTCGATGAGATTGTTGCCCTTGGTTATAGAGAAAATGTCAACTTGGCCCAGATCCGGACATTTACAGAGATGGACTCTCATGAGGAAAAGGTGTTCCGTGCCGTCAGAGAGGTAGGAAAGACATTTCTTAAGGAATAGCAATGCACACTTTTGATTGTTATTGTGCATTTAAAGGCTAAAAGTATGCTGCCATCTTTTCTAATCAACAAATCTGGCAATTCCCCAGAAGTCTACAGCATATAATGACATTCTAGAATGTCTCCAGTCTGCTAGACTTGTTTAGCTCAGGTATATGCACTGATGCAAAGGAGGAGGATCAATAACTTCCTAGAGTGTGAAACAAGGTGCTGTGTGTGTGGACTTCATAATTAAACATCCCTGATCCCAGCCATGTGTTTGCAGTTTATAAATAACATGCTGGCCAGGGCTCTCAGATGACACTTGATCAATTAAATGCTTTATTTGCAATGTAATTTACTAT